GCCTTGTGTTCAGAAGCAAAGCAGTCTTCTGGCCTTTTCAGCCACATTATAACCTCAAAGAATGCAAATGGTTTAAAGCAAAAGCAAAATATATAAAAATACCCTTTAGTGCTTGTTCACTGAACTGCTCCTTTCCAGAAACAGGCTATTGCATATTGCTGAAGATGCCTCTGAATTTGTCTGCCACATGCTGTACATTCGTTCTTCATACAATAGCCTGTCCAGCACCTATTTTATTGGTTTTTGGAGTACACATATACATGAGAGAAGGGGGAAAATAATTATTTATTATATTTATATCTCACCTTTTTTTTCCTTTCAAGAAATTCAAGGTGACTTACGTAATTCTTCTCCTCTCAATTGTATCCTCACAACAACAACACTGTAAGTTAGGTTGAGCTGAGAGTGTGTGACCTGCCCAAAGTCACCCGGTGAGCTCCAGAACGCCTGAGTCCCAGTCTTACAGCTCTTCACCACTATGCCCCGCTGGCTCCCTATATTCCATGATAATTTCAGACTTAAATCTGTATCTATACCATCTGTCTCTCATAGCAAAGGTGTGTGGCCATGATAAAGATTGTCCGGAAGGTGAAAATCCTCCCACTGCCCCAGACTTCCTCTTGTTGCCTACTTGTGATTCACATAAATGCACAAAAGAGAAGGGGGTATTATAAAACTCAGATTTTACAAAGCTATTCTCAAGAAGCAATACAGGGACCACGATCTTGCAGGAGCAAGTTCCTAAAAAAGCAGGGAGAGGGCTGTCTCCTGGTAAATGCAGACTGTTGCAGCATATGCCAGTGATGGCCCAGATAGGTTTAGCTTTTGGATGGAATAGAAATGTAATAAATAAATGTGTGGGCATGCAGAGGTGGAATGACTTTGGAATCTGTTTGACCTTATTATGCCATATCAACTGCAGACTTGACAATAGCCCTTACTGGAAGCTCCAGAGCACTTGTTACAGTAAATTATGTGAACAATAATGTTGCTTTTGCTTAATCAAAACAGATGTGAAAAGGTTCTGTTTAAAAGTAATAGTAATATTATGTGATCTCACAAGAACTAAAAATCCTTGTAGTGCTGACAATATCCACAGTAGCTAGAAGAAGAAGAAAATATTATTAATAATAATACAGACATTATTGGGCCTCATTCTAACCCAGGAAATTTCTGTACCCTTCTAGATACAAAATTAGATCTCATGGGGAAAGAATTTAGCCCAGCTTTCTCTCTTCTCTCTCACATGACAGTTTTCTATTGCAAGGGGTTTTTGTCTTCCTTCTGAAGAACATTCCCTCACCTGAGTTTCCACTTGCAGTCTTAACTGGTAAAAATCTTTACCATATGGCTTTGCTTAATGTAAAATTAGACTTAAATATACTAAACCGTCAATATGCACATGCTTAATTTTGTTTATGTCTGGGTGAACCCAGTAAAAGACATGCAGTGCAGACCCAACCTGTCCGTCGAACAGTTCGGCGGCTGGCAGCTGAAGGTATCGCTGTTTCAGCCACAACTGCCAATTTTATTTATTTTAGTAGGAGCACTGGGGTGGCTGCTTCTCTTTTCCTTCTCCTTGCACCCAGCATTTGGTGTTGGCTTGTTTGTTGGCTTAGCCCCGCGAATGTACAGTGAATAGTTGGCACCCATTATTCTGGCTGATTACATTTAAAAAGTAAACCATAAGCTGAGGCTCTGGGCAGCCTAAAGACGAACAGAGCTATCGCGACTTCAGATTTTGCGGCTCTCTCCTTGTCAGATGCGTAGTGTCAACTTCGCCTGGCATATATAAATAGTTCCGCAAAAGCAGACACTCGGTTGAAGGGGAGTGTATGCTAGAGCCGAAAGGCTCGCTGAGTAAGAGATCCGATTTGTGATATTTCATGCACGGTTTAACTGTCTAATCGAGCCCCTCTCAGTCACAGGACTTATTGAGAACGCTATCTTTCTAGTTTGCATATGTTAATGTAACATCTGTTTCGACGGTGGGAGAAACCATCGCCAGTTCTTGTCTGCAAGGGCTACCCAGGGCTACAAAAAAGCCGGCGAACGCGTCGGAAAAAGAGCCAGATTTTTGCTTTAAACTTCTGAAGACTCCGCCAAGAGAGTAACTTGGAGCCAGCCAATAAACTGACGCCGGCGCTCCCTCATCACCATAACTGCGAAGCTCCAGCCAATCAAGCACCTTCCAGGACATCACGAGGCGAATTTTGCATGTCTGTTCTCTCTCCTTCTTTTGATGTTAATAGGATTTATTTTCTTATTTTGATCTTTCAGTTGAAAGCCAGGCCGAAGTTGAAGTCATCGCCTTGGATTCATGTGATTGGAGAAAGCGGGGAAGTTAGGAGGGGAATGTAGAACGCTGCATTTTGGGGTTTTGAGCGAATGAGTAAGTGCTCCCTGTATATGGGGCCAGATTTTACAGAAAGAGTCTAGAGTCATTAATGGTCTGACATGATACCCAGCAAGTGTCTGGCCCTTGTTTGTTCTTATGCAAAGGAATACTGTATTATATATATCCTTTAAATAAATGCAAGTACTTCAATCAGCTAATAATGCCTAAAATGTAGTCATAGCTTTTGTAGGGCTATACAACAGAAGCAACACCCGAGGGCTTACAGTAAGGATGGAGTATTTCCAGTTCGAAGGGGGGGAAAACCCGTTTAAACACCTCTTAAAATTCAATAGTAGAGGTGCTGACGCACGAGGGCTACAAGCCTACAACCACTTTGCTGGGGCAACCCTGATTGAAACCAATGGGATTTACTTCAAAATATACAAGGTTGCATTGTAAATACGGTGCACAAAGTTATTAGGATGCGGAATGTCGCTCTAGCTTTTGCTGCATCGCTAGTCTTGTCATTCTTCAGCATTGCCTATGGGCTGGTGGGAGTTCCAGTCCACCAACATCTGGAGAGCCATGTGCTTATAGCTGCTGTGAAAAATGTTTTACAGTGTTCAATAATTCCAAATGTAAAAGCACACCACAGATGTTGCACTATTATAACTTATGAATATGTAAGGCTGCCATATTATTAAAGAAACTGAATTGAGTTTGAGTATACTCTTTATTTTATTTGCACATGGGTAAATATTATGACTTGAATCCAGATTTAGTCATTTAGCCATTGAAATCAATTGGATAAGTTAGTCATCACTTTAAAAAAAATCCTGCTGATTTCAGTAGGCTACTCTAGCCATTACTAAGGCTGGGTCTAATCTATTTTTTTCTGAAGCAAGAAAAAATGTTTTGGTTTTAGAGCACACACAGGTTTCATAGTGAACATTTTTCCCTTTATGTGAGAGAAAACAGGGGAGGACCTCTTTTAAGATGGAGCTTACCAGCATACATTCTCTCTTACCAGCACACACTCTCTCTCTCTTTTAAGGCACCCAGTAAGGTTTTCTTTTAAAAGATTTAGTCTTGAGAATAACTGGCTGCCAACAAATCATTCCAGGTGGCACATCTAGGAGTCCTCAGTTGGTCCTTTATACATAGATCATTAAAGGGCTACATGTTACACAGTTAATACTTTCCAATAGGCTATGGAAGTCAAATGTTACAGTGGTGTGATCTTTCCTGCCTGCATACCAAAGCAGAAGGAAGATGCTGGGAAGGAGGGGTTGCGGATGGAGTTGGGTTGGCATGAGTTGCCCTTTGTGTTGTAGTTATCTGTTAAGAGCCAACTGGCCCACTCTGGAAGGGCACCTGGTTAACTTCAGCTACATTTCAAGGATGTACATTCTGATTTCTAGAAAAGAGGGTTTTTTTCTGGCCTATCTATGTGTCAATGCTTGCATTTTTTAACCAAGGAAAGCTATGCCTATCGATCTGTACATCAGCTGTGATGCTTTTAACCATGATCAACTCACAAAGAGAATTCATGGTTTGTTGCTGGCTTGTGAATTGTGGGTTGTGGTTAATAGATCGTGGTTTGCTAGCACAGTTGAGTACACATAACCTACATTTCAATCACTTATGGTTCAAGGACAATCTTGAGTGTGATTCTTTGTTTTGTGTAAATTAGCAGAGGTTCTTGTGAACAATTACAATCACTAGTAACTCACATGCATCAAGCAAAATGGGGTGGGCGGAAGTTCCCGGGGTTATTGCTGGAACAAGGCAACCAGGCTTTGATCAAAAGAATGACTTGAGATTTCAATAGAAGCAACTCCCCTATATTCCCTACATTTCCTGGGATAACCAATTGGAATCCTCTTATTTTGCCTTCCCATGTCAGGCTGCCCGCAGCTTATGTTCCATTCCTAGAGGAGTAGAGTGGAAGGGGGCCAGGAAGGCCCTGAGTCCAACCCCCTGCTCAGTGCGGATTCCAGGTTAAAGCACCCCTGGCAGATGGCAGCCCAGCTGCCTCCTGAATGCCTCCAGCATGGGAGAGCCCACCACCTTCCTAGGCCATTGCTTCCATTTTTGTATTGCTGTTACAGGCAGGAAGTTCTTCCAGATGCTCAGCCGGGAGCTGGCTTCCTGTAGCTTGAGCCCCTCACTCCGTGTCCTGCGCTCTGGGTGGACGGAGAGGGGGCAGTGCCCCCTCCCGCCCCGTGTGACAGCCTTTCAAGTATTTGAAAAGTGCTATCGTATCTGCCCCCCGTCTTCTCTTCATCAGGCCAAACACGCCCAGTTCTTTCATTTCAAGCCTTCCAAACCTGCACGCACTCTTAACCCAGCCTCCTATCTCCAATCGGGCGCCTCCCAGATTGGGCCACGCCTTGAGGCTAAGGTAGGCTTCGCCAACCTTGTGCCCTCCGCAAATTCTCGGAAATCTCCAGACTCTGTCCTGCATTCCATTCACTGGGAAACACTGGACGCATCTGACGCCGCCTCCGTCTGGTCGGGGGACCCTGCTGCCCTGGCCCACGGGTTAAGCCTTGCAGGAGACAGGAGGCCCTGTGCTCTTTCTGCAGCGGCAAAGCCTCCTCGCTCGCTCCCCCTGGACGCCCAGAGAAAGGCAGTCTCCCCCGCCCCCCCTTAGGCCCCTCCCAGCCGCTGACGCGAGGACGAAGCTGCTGCACTGGCAACGCGCGTTGCTACAGCTGGCTGCGCCTGCTTCCGGCGGCCATGGATTCCTCCCTCTTGCAGGTTTGTCCAGCAGGCTCACCGGCCCGGCCTTTCTCATGCCCCGCTCGACTGTTTCTTCCCTTGCGTCGCGTCGCGTCGCGTCGCGTCGCCCCTCTCCTCTCCTCTCTGGAAGCGCGCCTCGTTTTTGCTGCCATTCCTTGCGTTCTGCCTTTTGGGCACAACCACGGGGTTCGTGCAACGACGCAGGCAGGACAGAAGCAAGAGAGACCCCTTGCCAGCACCATCGCCTTCCCTTCTAGCGATTTTGTCACGCATTTGCCGAAAAGGCACGGGCTGGAGCAGCCTAGTCTGCCTTTTCAAAGCTGGCGTTGGGGCCTCGCTGCTCAGCCTGTATAATACTTACCTCTCTAAAGCGTAAAATTGATTTGGCTACTCTTCCCCTGCTAGTGCCCTCCGGATGCTTTGGACTACAACTCCCAATATGCCGACTGGTAGCCATGGTGACTGGGCCTGATGGGTGTTTGGAGCCCAAGATATCAGGGGGCCACCCGGTTAGGGAAAAGACATCTTCCCGCACCCCATCGATCCAGGTCAGCCGTGATTGCTGCAGCAAACACCTGTGTGCACCAATATGCACAAGTGTGTACTTTTTTCCTTAAACACAAGCTCGAACAGGGCAAGGGACAGTGCTGCACATTTCGGGAGCAGCTGTTAATCCGGGATCTCTCAAATGTATTTTCCTTACATGTTTATATAACATTCCCTTTCTTTATATTTTAGCCACAGTTCATATGTTGTGCAGCAACAAATTTGGATTTGCTGCAGAACGAACACACACCAAACAAGGAGTCCCTGTCAATCTCATCACCCAATGAGTGTACCTATACTAGCCTTCCCCAACTCAGAGCTACAACTCCCATCATGCTGCCCATGTATGATGGGGGTTTGGCAGTGTGCATTTTTCAAACTGATGCTCTGCAGTGTTAAGGGTACTTTTGATATTGGTTAGACACACTCTTAAACACATAGGTTTGACCTCTTCCCGGAAGAGTCTGGTGGGGCTTAACGTGACCTGCCTTCCATATCCTAAAGGACCCCTGTGAATGAACAGCTCAATGGGAAATGCGTAAGATGTATAAAGGAAGTACTATTGGTTATTTATTATTACATTTATATCCTGTCTGTCTTCTTGCGAGGCATACAAGGCCCTCCTCCTCTCCAACTTATCTTGCCAACAACCCTGTAAAGTAGCTTAGGCTGAAAGGCAATGATTGGTTGAAAGTCACCCACTGAGCTTCATGGTAAATGGGGAATAGAATCTGGATCTCCCAAATTTCAGGCCAGTACTCTAACCACTGTGAAGCACTGTCTCTTACACCTCTCTCCCCCTCTCCGCCCCCCTCACACTCCCTCCTTCCTCTGTCATTGTTACAGCAGGAAAATTCTTAGTCTCTAAAGTGTTAAACAGTAAATATTAAAACTTTGTAGAATGATCAGAGGAAGGTGGGTAGTCACTCATCTTAACATGAGGCTATAAGAAATGTATGGTGATCATTTAGCTACATTCAGCACAGAACTTTCAATAGGAATGGGCTAACTTTAGTAAACAGTTTCTGCACTGCACAGGGAGTTGCACCTAATGAAACAAACTTTCATTGTGGATTTATTATATAAAGGTACATTGTTTTTGAAGGCAAAATACTTCAAGTTAGCTTTAAGTATATGCATGACTTAAGTATACCCCCCCCCCCAAAATCATTTGGGTTGAATATGGAGGAGACCATCAGACAGCATGAAGAAGGGAAAATAATGTTTTCCAGGCAGTAATACCAGTTTCCCAAACCATTTTTCTTCTGTTTTATCATTGTACTCACCTGGTTGATTGTCTTAATGCAAGGAACCATTTCTTTCAGGCTTTAATTAATTACTATTGCCAGGAAGGCTATTTTCATCATGTTCAAACAGTTGCCAATGAAGGCCTTAAGACGTTCGGCGGTGACCCAGTGTTCCTTTTCTATCGTAGTTACGGCATGCTGATGGAAGGTAACCATCCACCGTGTATCTTTTGAAAGTTCTACACTTTGTGTCTTGTTCAAAAGGCACAGCTGCTGTCCAGATTGCTTCCATGAAATGGAACTGATTTTTACAGCTCAGTCTTTAGCACACTGATGTGGCAAAGACTCGTTTGCTCCCAGGAGAAGGCACATAAAATTGCAGCCCCAAACCATTGCATATTTTCTGCCACATATTAACAGTCTATTACAACAGCAGTTCAAGTTTTATAAGTAACTGCTTGATCTGGCTGTAAATCACACGGGCACAGTGCTGGCTCTGGGTTTGAGAGGGCCCTTGGGCAAGGCACCTGCTGTGGCCTTCCTCTTGCCGTGAGTCCTGCTTTTCCTTCTCTTTGCTCCCACTTATTCCTTGGCTTCCATGGGGAAGTAGGCAGTAGCATCTCTTCCCCATCTCTGCCACCACTATTCCCTGGGCCAAAGTCAGGAGTAGGTGAGCAAGCGGGCTGCAATGGTGCCAAAACAGGCACCTCCAGGGGGGATTTCTCTGTGGACCCAACTGGGTTATGGGCCCTTGGCAGGTGCCCAGCCATGCTTAGCCTTTCGTGCCTGCTGTGACTGTGAGATGGATAATTTAAGGAATGGGTATGAGATATGAGAGTACCAACCAGATCCTACTCAGCTGTGCAGTTCATTGTGTGAAATGGCCTTTTCCCAGCCAAATCTGCATCATGCGGCTTTTCTGTGAAGATAAAAGAAAGTAAGGATATCGTGTAACCTAGGAGGTTTCCAGAGCTCAATCAGTTCTTGTGAACAGTAAGGCATCTTTACCGCTTGTTACCTAAAATGCAAGTGCCATGGAGGAGCAGGTGATGTGCGCAACCATGGTCCCATATTGAGGCCGCAGTCCCAAGATGCTATCACAGGAAGTGCCTCTCCTGAGTATCGGAGAACCTGCCTGCAGCAGCAGGTTGCCTCACACCAAGCCAGGGCACTGGTTGCTCTGGCTAATTGTAGTCCATACTGACCAGCTGGGGCTCTCCAGGGCTCTGGACTTTGCCAGGCCTACCTGGAACAGCAGGGCCTGAACCTGGGACCCCTGGCATGCAGAACATGGGCTGCACCCCTTCCCTGTGGAATGGGCCACAAGGGAGACTGCTCAGGAAGAGGGACTCACTCGCATTTGGGCTTAGATCCTAAGATAAGTTCATGGGAGAGATGTTTCTCATTTTCCCTATTCCACAGCAGCCCCTGCGTTGTGTTCCATGTTGTTCAGGAGAGCCACCTGGCCTTCTGGAGAAGCATTTTGGGGAATCAGTGGAAGGTTCATGGGGAGGAATGGATAGGAAACTTTCATGAACTTCCTAAATGTATAGTATCTAAGTTAAAGACTCCAGGGAAACATGTTTATTTCCTTCCTCTGCAGTGCTCTATTTTATATTCTGGGGATATTTTATTTATATGAATTGTAGCGTTTAACTCAGATGAGTAGACTCGTGAAATGGATAGTCTGTTGCACAAGAAAATGCAGCTTATTGTCTTGAATACATTTCCTTAGGGCACATTCAAGAAGCTCTTCTTGACCTTGAATCGATTAAAAACAGACAAGAAGTTTCTCTCTGCACACTAATGGCACTAATCTATGCCCACAAAAAGAGCCCAAATCCAGGTATCGTTTCAGTTTTATTTATTTATTTATTTATTTATTTATAACATTTTTATGCCGCCCCCATCGCAACAAAGCCTCGGGGCGGCTCACAAACTAAGCGGCCTTGGTGCGGCTTATAACTAAGCCGTACAGATTCTCAACTGTTATGTCATTATGCATGCTTGCCTCTTTCCAGTTTAACATGAAAGTACAAGTGGGACCTATAATAACGTTTTGCAGTATATTTCCCCCATCTAATCCGAGTGCTCCTGTTCAGAGTTCCGGCCAGCCCTGCCCTCCTCCAGCAAGCCATTCCCTTTCCCTGCTACCCCCTTTTCCTTTTGCATTTCCAGTTGCCATTTGGTCGTTCTGTGGTTACTGATCGTGGTTACTACCCATTCGTCACCCCTTAGCTTTAGGGAGGGTTTTTTTCACTCTTGCAGACCTCAGAGTTCCTCTGAGCATGCCAATTCCCTCTCTTATTTCTCAGCAGGATGTGCAGAGTATGCGTGCATAAGTTCATGCTGTAACTCTGCTATCCTAACCCTTCTTTCAGCTGAACACTGAATGTGTTGGCCTGCCTTTACTGACCGTTCTGATGCTAACTGGCACTTGTTAGCATTTATCGCTTCAAATATTTTCCTCATTGTCTTTCTAGGAAAATAAGATTTTAACCATCAATTCATTGTAGAGCTTGTGAATTTCTCTGAGTGAACTCATCAGAGAATTCTTTTGGTTTCATCTGCATGTGCACACAATGAGTGTGTGTGTGTGCACGCACCAGGCTACAATGCATTGTTGACTGTCACCTCTGAACCCTGTTCCTAGCCATCTCCCTTGTGTGATTAGCAGTTCTAAAAGGAAATGTTACCAAATTGGGAACACGTTGCTTCGATGCCACTTATACAAGGGAAGTATTTTTCACTTCAGGAGAAACCTTGAACTGTGTAGGATGGGCTACTGCTGTTGGCAGGAAGTTGAGCCAGAGGTAGCCTGATGGACAGGCTGACTGAGAGGCCTCTCGGGGTGTTGCATTAGTGGATTTCTTGCATTGACGGGGTTTGGACCGGAACACGTTTGAGCCTGCCAGAACTATTTTGCAGGGCTGGGATGGCCCAACTACAAGTATGTTTTTGCTATGAGAATGTTTTGTTTCTTTGTGCAACATTTGGAGGTAAATCGATCAAACTGAAAGCACTTTTCAGTGACAGTCCAGTTCTGGACACACCCAGCACAGTTTAAATAACTCTCACTTCTTCCTGCTTTCTTCAGATCGTGATGTCATCTTGGAGCTAGATGGCAAACTGAAGGAGCATCGTAAGACAGCCGGGCAGGAGGCCTTGTATTATGCGGGGTTATTCTTGTGGCATATTGGCCGCCACGAGAGAGCCCGCGAATACGTGGACCGGATGATCAAGCTCTCTAACGGCAGTAAAGAGGTAACCCATCTCCCATGGCCGCGCTGCATATCTGCAAGTCCGCTTGCTGTAAAACAAGACTTGTTAGCTATGTTGAGTCATCCTGCAGACCAAAGCCGATTATGCCCGCTTCATTTAACACTCGAGAAACGTTTTGGCGGAGGCAGTACTGCTAAGAACGAGCCTGGTGATTTCTCTTCTCTTAGCTGTTAAGCAAATCTGATTCAGTAAGTGAAATGAGTCAGTGGCCAGCAGCGTTACTCGAGGCTGCAAAGCAATCTAATGGTTTGGAATCGCAGATGTTTGTTCCAGTGCCCTTTTTGTGGTTTTCAACTGGCATATGAGGTGCAGTGCTGCCTGCACGAATGTTGGTGCATTCCATGGGTTGTAGCTAAAGGTGGCATCGTCTTAACGTAGGACTGGGCAGACCTTTTGACCACATCTGGACCCCTCCAACGGTCTCCGTGGCCTCCCTCTACTCCACTGTTGGGGGCTTGATTCCCCAGAGAGGTTCACTTGGTGCCGTCACTTTATTCTTTTCGATGCCAGCCTAAAACCTTTTTATTTTCCCAATATTTTACAGTTTGATTGTCATTTTAATATGGGTTTGATTGCTAGAAATTAATCGGGATGCTGTGTTTTATTTTGTTTTATTCTGCGTTATTGTCAAACCATCCGAGACCTTGGTAGTGGACGGTATTAAAAAGTTTTAAATAAATAAATAAATACAAACATACTGTTGGAATTCAAACTAGAATTTCCATTGTACTGATTCCCCACTGAAAACCAGGGGCAAATTGGCAATGTTTGTTGGTGCCACCCACTGTTTTTGCTGCCACGGAGGTGGCAGCAGAATGAAAGGGGCCCTCATGCCTCCCAAAGTTGCCCGCCCTGCCTTAGCAGAAAGCAAATTGGGGGACCCAGTTTTTGTTGATCCCACCTGCCCGGTGCAGTTCTCTGCCCCACGTTCCGTTCCATTGTGGAGGATCCCACAACCCTTAGGAGCAGGTTCTTAGGGGCACAGGGGTCTGTAAGGAGGACAGGAAACTATCAGCTACATTGCCTTGGGTGGATGGAAATGGTTTCCATTAAGGCAAAGCCATTGCTGGATTCACTATCATCAACTTTAAACTGAAGAGTCCTGAATTCACTTGAATGTTTTCCCACCAAGTGGTTGCATATAAGTAAGGAAAATCTGTACTGTAGAAGTGAATGGAGTGGAAAAGCTTGTTGAAAGAACTAAGGCTGCTGAGCATTTTTGGACTCCTTGGCTCATGATGGCCTTAGCAGACCCATCCTCTCCAGTCTGTAAGCTTCTTCCTGATATTGGAGCAGTTTAGGCAAGGCATATTATTAAGAATTTGTTACCTTGGAATCAGCACAAGTAAAGTTTAAATGATTTTGCACTCTTTGTACTCCACTCAACACAGTATAGAACTAAAGTGCAACTTTGCAAGAGAGGCTATTTCATGACTCTAAAAGAACCAGATGCACACATGCCAATTTCATTGCGCTTCTTCAGATAAATCTTGCATGTACAGATGTTTTGCTTATCAGAATTGCTGCCCTTCATATGTCCTTGGTGTACATTTAAGTGTTTCCGTGGTGTGATTCATACGACATATCAAGCATGTTCAACAATGCATGTGGCAGCGCTCCTGTTACCTGGGCTGTTGGGCGTCTGGAAGGTCCCTGTTCAGCCATTAGAGGGCTTTGCCAAGTTGGTCGTTCCCCATGTTTGTGTCTCCCCAGCTAGTGGAATAGAGGAACTTACCTATTTCACATGGCTTTGTAACAAAAACCCTGTATAATCTTAAATTCACTTTCCCTACCAGACTGGGAGCTTGATCCATATGGTAGTGGGATGGGTGAAAGTGAAAAAAGCTCACTCCAAACGAGCAGGTGGAACCTGCAGCCCACCTGGACTTCTTTTCCCTGAAAGAGGGCAAGGGCTGGGAAAATCAGCGAGCAATTTATTGGGATATGAAAAACCAGAATTAGGATTTAGTTTGGAAAGTGGGGAGAAATGAAAGCAAACATATAAATGAATCAACAATTTAAAGTAAGTTTCTGAACAATAAAATGGAAAGAGTGGAGTCCAATAAAAATGGGGTCCATAAATGTGGGGCTATTTCTTAAGGCCTGTCTGTAGATGTGCCATCTGCAAGTCAGATGTAGCTGCACGAGGCCCCAGTCACTAAGGGTTGTGCTAACCAGTACCTGAAAGAGGACAGAGTGCTTGCTTGCTCTTCTTCCCGGTCTTTTCCCAGCTCCCACAGGACCTCTCTGCAGAGCTGGCCCAAGACATTTTTTGCCTGAAGCAGAAGACAAAATTGTGTTCTCTCCTTTTGCTTGAGCAAAAGCTGCCTGGACTAGCAGTTGAAACTTCCTTTAGTACAGGAGGACACGGCAGGGCATGAAGCCCACAGTTCTCCAAATTTTTGTGGCCACTCTCAGAATCTGCCCCCCAAGGTGGCTGCTTCAGTCAACCTAATGGTAGGACTGGGCCTGCCTCTGTGCCCTCTCTCTTCATGGCTTCCTTTCTTGACAATTTCACTTCCTTTTCTCTTCACACAGTCTCCTCTCTCTTCACCGTTCCCTCACTCACCAGGGTCAGAATGGCTTGAGCGCCTGGCCTTCCACCAGAGCTCCTGGCCTTCCCTTATCTACTGAGAAATAAGCCCCAGTGAGTTCAGTGGGACTTAAATCCACATGGATGCTGCCCAAAGCACTTTAAGAAGTTTAAGTCTAAGTTCCTGTGCATATTTAGATGGAAAACGGTCCTGCGCCTCTCAGCATTCCTCAGCCAACCAGCATGTCCCAGCCAGCTGTAGGACGTTTTTTCTGTTGCCTTCTTGTTCAATTTTGCTTTTCTTTTCAGGGATTGATTTTGAAAGGTTGGCTTGATGTCACCTCTGGAAAAGAAGCAAGTATTAAAAAAGCGGCAAAATATTTTGATGAAGGGCTGCAAAGTGGGAATGATATATTTGGCCTGATGGGTAAAGTAAGTCTGTATTGAATTAAGTATTTGATTGTATCATATCACAGAACAAACACTGCAGCTAATGCTGACTGTTCCAGCACAGGTTGTTGTACAATACAATCCAAGGTACTTGACATGGGTACTGAATTTAGTCTTAAGCCTGGGATTCACAAACCCTTGTGTGGGATAGGAATGCAGACTTGAAGTCTTACTATAAATGTAGAATGCACTCCAATATTTTTCTTCATGCTCATTTTATCATTTTGAATGGTATGGATAAGCGTTTTAGACTGCATTATATCAGGGAGTCTAAGCAGAGTTCATTAGTGAATCTTTAGAACAGAGTCATTTTTCCACCACAGAATCAATTATTTTGGTTTGTTTTGGCATATCCTGCTCAATCATGAAGGCTTAAAGCATCTAACAGCAGTTTAATTGGGTATATGGGGCCTTTAGCTCTTTGTCAGTAGTTCAGTTAAATGTTCTCCAACAGTGTTGAAAAAAATGAAATTTCTATGTAAGTCTCACACGATTTCCATGTTCCAAGTATTCCTCACCATAATAGGGTTTTAAATTGCCATGGGGGTGTCAGGATCCTCCTTCCTAAATCTAGAGAAAAAAAGGCATTTTGATTTTTGTAGTTTTAGGGATCAATTCTGCCCTTACTGGAATTACGAACTGGAAAACCATGCATGCATGTTTCATGGTTACGGTGATCCTGTAAGGCTCTGTTTATTTTATTTTTTTTACTTGATTATAATGTTTACAGATGCTTAGACTTGTTCTTTCTGTTTTGTGGGAGGATTAAAGAATATTCTGTCTATTTTCATAAAAATGAAAATTTACAAACTAAATATTGCTATAAACAGTATTAGAAAACTATAGGATCATACATGTTTACAAAACTCTTTGGAAACGTGTTTTTATAAATCTCACTAGAACCTTCCTTGTGACCGAGAAAAGCCATGATTTCTCACCATAGCTAATTGCCACGTTCAAGATGAGCACTATTTATCGATTCTGTTTTTCAGGTCTTTTATATCCTCTTGCAAGGCTCCCACTATGCTTTGTGCCACATGAGAAAATGCACAGTGATGAAGGATCAATTTGCCATGACAGCGTTCACACGCGCCCTGCTAGGCTTGCTGTGGCCTGAGGCTACAGTGACTTTGCACGTTGTTCACAACCAGTGTCCCTTCGGCTGGTTGGTGTCTTTGTGGCCACAAAGCCACCTGGAGAAGCAAGGCAGGGCTAACTTGCACGTTGGAAGCCACCCCGGGACTTGCTTCTTTGAATCAGTTTAGCCATCCCAGTAACCCCAGGTGAAGCCCTGAAGCCTACGAAGCTGCCGGGCAAGAGCAGCGGGAAAACAGCAGCAGCTCAGGGGTGGGGAATGTTGTGTTCAGCCTCTTCTGGGGAGGCCAAGCAAAATGGTGCTCGCCACGCTGCTGCTAATCCGAGCAGAGTGGTTGCCAGTTGGGCACTTTTGGGGCAGCTGTCATCCCTGCTCCTTCCCCTCAGTGCTCCCTTAGGGTTCCCAGCTGAGCGGACTGAGCAGGGAATATAGGGAGGATGTGTCTTCATACCCTGAAGGCACCGCAAGGGGTGGGGCGGCAGATTAACTTTAAACCTTGAATGGCTTACAAGCTATCCCAGTCTTGAAGTGTTGTGCAAATTTGCCTATTCAGTGGACAATGCCCAGTGAGGTAGTATATATCCAAAACCACAAAACATGGTATAACTATGTGTTGTGCTTTCAGGCTAACATATTTATTTAGGGTGTTACTAATCTACTCTTCAAGCAAAAATCGAGCCCAGCGCAACTTAAAAAGATGGATAATGATACAGGCCCCACAATCTTATATTCTACAATACATGAAATAAAAGGAAAAGAGGTTAGGAAGGAGAAGGGGAAAACCAAACTCAGGCGACAGCTCATAGTTTTGAAGTTCTTATAGGTGCTCCTTCTGGCAGGGGAGGCTGAAAACCTCCCTGGAGCCTGACCTTCTCCATCTGATGAGTGGGGCCATTTTGACCTTTCCCTCCCTTTGCTGTTTACTTTGGGAGGTGGCGTGCAGTCTCCCAGTTCTCTGATCAGTGGATGCTTGTGATCCTTGCATGTATAAGAGAAAGGACAGAGCCTGTGACAGAGAAAGAAAAGAAAGCAGTGGCAAGGTAGAATGCTGCTTTTTAATAACACCTTCCTTCCTGGCCTTAACCTCTTGAAGCTGCTCACGACAGAAAGCCTTTTTCAGCTGCTCTGGGAGCAGCATGAGGAAGGGTGTCCGACTGCCTTCCTTGCTGGACTGTCCTTCCTGTGCACCTGAGAATCATTCTCCTCTCTAGGGGACTTTGCCAGCCTGTATGTTCTTTCCATCTTTCTCAAGCAATCAGTTGTAACAGCAACTCTTCATTTGCCTCTGTCAGACAGGAACTGTTGAACACCTGCCTTGACTGTCTTTCTCCAGATGCAGTTTCTGAAGCATGGGTCCATGGGGCTGAGGCTGGAATAATGTTTATTAAACAAAAGGGCCGTGTTCTGTAGAATATCTTTCCTTTCCACTTGGAAATGTAGCTGCTCCCTTGGCAAAGAAGATGATTAAGTGGTTACTTCATCTTTCGTTAGGCACAATATTCTGAAGTGCGCCAGAATTACTCAGGAGCCTTGGAGACTGTGAATCAAGTAATAGCCCATTTCCCACACTTCCTTCCTGCTTTTATAAAGAAGATGAAGCTGCAGCTGGCGTTGCAAGACTGGGAACAGGCCACTGAGACGGCACACAGGTGGAGTATGCGTAACTGCTCCGGGTTACATGAATTAAAACCCCTCACATCTGAGCTGCAGTGCTCCTGCGGCAGACGCGCTTACAAAAGAGAGGACAGCACTATTGGCTGGTTGCTTGCCAACTCCCCATTGATACTGATTTCATCAATCAGGAGCCACGGTGCTCCCAAAACTCATTTTTTCCAGTTACCGTTTCTGAATTGTTGGAAAGGTACGCATCGATAATTGGTGAAGAAAAAGTCCAAAGACGATGGATGTTTGCTGTGCTGATTCTGTTCTCCTTTGGAATAAAACAGAGGTGTTTTTCCCCAGTTCCATGTCATACTTAATCTGACCATAAATGGCAAGGTAGAATGCTGCTTTTTAATAACATTTTGCAAATGGTTGAGGACCACCTTTTCCAACAGCAGATCATTACATTGGAGAGCTTGAGTGGATCAGGCATAGCTGAGTGAAGGATCATTGAGTGAAGGATCATTGGAAATATTGGCCAACAGTCCTGCTAAGAAACTGGTGTTTCTGCCTGTGTAGCTGTCCAATGAAGGCCTCTTTACTGATAGGGTAGAAGAAGAAAGCTCTTGCAACAGTTTCCTTTTTCAAGGAGACAAACACACCTGGGCATCTTCTCTCCCAGAACAGAAGAGGCTTGAAACATTTCTAAAAACAAGGTTGCCTTAAATATTGATGTACAAGCCTTGGACTGTCCTGGCAGGTGGGCTTGCTGCTGCTGCAAAATGCATCAGGCTTCTGACACAAGACAGTGGGTCAGCATGGACACTCCAGCAAGCCAGCATTCCAGGGAATCCTGGCTTATTGGGATTGAGTGGTGCGTTGAAATACGCTGCCCATGGGCTTCCACTCCCTGCAACAGAAGTGGCTAAACAAACCATGACTCTCCTTCCATGGTTTGTTTATGCGAATGTTTGAATGCAGGTTTCTGACTTGTCTTTCCCCAGATAAGCCAGAGTCATAAGACAGCAGTAAACCATGGTTTATGACTGTGGCGTATTTGAAGGGAAAAGAACCTTGCTTGGCTGTTATGAGAAACAAATCATTTATGCTGAATCTGTGGTTTGTCAGCCACTGGTGGTGGCAGGAGGAGACCCATGGGGGTGGGAGGAATCAGGCAGCATGTATCAGCTCACTGATTTGATCCTAATTAATCAAGCCAGGTCAGTGATCTGAGTTTAGGAACTGGGCTCGCTCCTCCTATAAAAAGCCTCTAAGAGTTATGGAAGCAAAGGGGTGGGCCCGGAAACCACCTCTGAATCGCCAAGGCGAAGGGACTCGGAGATAAGCAAGGCAGTTGCGGAGGATCAATCCCAGATTCTGTGGGAAAGTTTGGGGAGTATACCAGTAGGGAGCGGGGCAGACCAAAGATCTTAATGGGAGTAGATGGCATCAGATTAAGAGGGTGGAGTAGCTGAGAAGCCTCAAGGAGTTGGGCCTGAAACAGGGGACCCACCTTGAAGTTGGAGGCAGCTCTTGTTGGCTTGGAAGGGAGAGGAGGTATTGGAAGCAACTTCTTGTCCCTACTCTGCCGTTCCCTAAAGGCCAGTATTCGAACCCTTTGTTACTGACTTTGCTGTGTTCTTGTTCTGTCCTACGATGCCAGCCTAGCTGGTCAGCTCCAACCTTTTAGCTAGAGAGCGTCTCTCCTGGTCTGCTTGGAAATGGAGTGGAGCAGAAGATCAACCATGACACCAACTGGAACTGTTGATGCTTCCAGATGAGGCTTTTACTGTGCAGTCATCCTGTCTCATCCAGGGACTTTTAGAAAATAAAAGAATTTCCAGGGAGTTCCTAATGAATGCAAAACTTGATCCACTTGTACCATGAAAGCATTGAATCCTCCATTGTGTCATGAAAGAAGCTTCTGTTAGATGAAGAACACTTTGCCCCAAAAGAAAACAGAGTGGTTGAATGATACCTTGTTTTATTTCAGGTTGCTGCAGAAAGATGCTCTTACCTTGGAAGCTATAAAAATGGAGGCTGTTCGCCATTTGTGTAGGGAAGGCAACATACCCGAGGTGAACCTTCTGTATTTAATTATACATTGAGATTTGCTTTAAATTGAGCATTCTTCAGTGTCCTTCTGCATAGGGTTACTTTTAATTAAAGCAATGCATCATTTGACACTGGGGTAATTCTGTCCTATAAAATAATTTATTTGCGTGCTAGCAGAGGCAATAGTGGTTTCACTGACAGCCTAATCCGCTATGTGACTATTCAGAAGTTCATCTTGTTAAGTTCAGTTGAACTTACTGCAGGATAAGCATGTATAGGATCGCAGCCCTAGTTTTCTCTTATTTGGAAAATTCACAGTAAATTAATATTTCAGAAATATGTGGCAATTTTAAACTAACTATATTTGTAAGTCTTGACTAGACTGTCTGTTAAACACCTTAGCCCTTAACAGATAGTGTAATGAGAACATTTTTGCATAAAATTAAAGAGGGAGTTTTGCTAAATACAGTCCTGAGCCATGCACCAAAGAGCTATTTTAGGCCGGCCTAGGGGCTTGTGCATAGCAGACGTGGTTTTTTGTTTTTAGCAGTGCGCTCTTCTGCCATATCACATTCAAATATGATTTTCCATGTGACAGAAGAGGGCCGTTGAGAGTGAGGGTGCCGTGGTGCTCAGAACGCAAGCTGAGAGCCCTTCTTTGGAGTCACTCAGTGCTTCCATGCAAAGCTTTTAAGGGGTATCATCCTGCCTGGTTCGTGGAATATTATGTGCATCTAGACCCTGCCATCTTTTACTACCAGTCCTCTTATTTCCTCATATCCTCTCTCCTTCATTTTCATTTTCTAGTAGAGAATGGCTGCACCATGACCTGGGCGTTACACATTACAGCAACTCTTGGTTAACAAATGGTGGGTTGTTAAAAGGCTGAGCAGGAGCAAGTGCTGGATCCCACCCACTCATTCTGCTGAGATAAACCAGGGAAGCTCCATCCCTGGGCTGTTGATTGTGACACCTTAGCCCAGAACTCTGGGTTCTCTGGGGTTGAAGAACCCCAAATTAGAACCCACAGGTCTGGTTTGGGGCTTAACAACCAAGGATGGGGAATCACTAGATTCTAGCATGCCTGCATAGCCCTACTCATCCTCCCCGCACTCCATGGTTTGTTAACTGTCGGCTGCTAAGTGTAAACTGGGACAATGTTTTCTAATTAGTAGCGTTAAGATACTTTCTTCTGGAAGCACCTAAGGCCTGATATTTTCCAGACAATTGTGGGTTTCCTTTGTGTGTTTTTTTTTTTTTTTTTGAGGTGGCACTTTTAGTTTTTATCAAAGTCAATCAAAGAACTATTCAGAGCAGTCTTTGAAGATTCTGAGATCACTAAAAATGACTATAGAATAACTCTTATTCTAGCAAAGCCAAGGAGAATGTTATAATAATAGATTGTAGCTCTTACAGATTCAGTTTTCAGCATTGTTTGAAAACCCCTTTAACTGCATGCAAAAATGCATGCTTTTAAGAAAAGATGGAGGTTTTTCAAGTTGAGGAAATACAGCTTTAAAAAAAACTGTGAGCAACTCTATCAGTACCTTATACTCCTGGAAGCTGCAACCACATATTAGTAGCATGTGCTTGCTTTAGAGAGGGATTTGTTTTGATTGTGGTAATTGGCAAGTAGCCATTCATGGCTTAACACATATTGCACAATTAAGATACGTTTGCTAGACCTACTATGCAATATTCAGTTCTTGTGATGGCAAAGATTGCTTTTGCAAGGAATTTCTGCGAGCCACAAAGACCATGTCTAAAGTATTTTCCTCCAAAGATTATATCATATGGCTCTTGAATGTTCTACTTTTAAGGATGTTTGTTGCTGCTGCTCTTTCAGAAGTGGATTGTCATTAAGCATATACATATTATAGTACATGTTGAGATATATAATGCACATTCTTGCAGAGTGTTACTAATGGCTGATGGCATAAGGCTAAACTGATTTGGTTTGCGGTTAATGCTAAACCAAGATTTAGCATCAAGGCACAGCTCATGTGAAGTGCTGACTCAAGCACTTCTTTCTGTGCATCGAGGAGGAAAGGTGAACTAGAATTTGGTTAACTTTAGCAAATTCCTGGCTTATCATAATCTGCGAACCAGGCATTTTGTTTTAAGAAACCATAGCCAAGCCTCTCTCTACCTGGCAGCCCCAGACGTACTGGACTGCAACTTCTGTCACCCGCCTCTGACACAGCCAGTAGCCATGCTGACAGGATGATGGGTCTGTACACTAGCACATCTGGAGGATGCCAGGTTGGGGGAAGCTACTCTAATCAAGTGATAAGCAAACAAACTTCAAACCCTCAATTCATTTTCTGCCTTGTTCGTCAAACTGGTTGATTAAGCAGGGACCTGCTAAAGCAAAACTACATTTCTTGTTTATGCCTTCTTCCAGAAGCCTGCAGAGAAGATCTGGGAACATGGTTCAGCCCGGCTTCTGCATATAATGCTAACTTACAGTGTAGCATTGGGTGGATTGTAGATTCATATAAAGTAATAGTTCTCAAGATCCACAGATACTTCTGTTTCCCACCTTCCAGGCTTCATCAAAGCTGGCAGAACTGATTAGTGCATTGGATAAGTTGGAACCTCATAATCCTCAGCTCTTCTGCAAAACAGCACTGGTTTTTAGCAGAACAGTTAAGTGGACTTTTTTTTAAAAAAAATGCAGTCAGTGGTTACAATCCATGCAAATATGCCTTCAGGTAGGAGCAGGTAAGCATCCCATGTCTAAGCTGGGCTTTGGCTTGTGCCTATTGGGCCGATTCCTGTGCGCAGATAAGTGCTCCCAGATTGTTATAGTGGGATCAAGGCCAAACCGCCCAAGTAAATACACAACTGGTTTGGGTTTCTTTGGTGTTTTCCCAAATGAAAGGTTACATGGTAACTTTGAAACCTTTCTGCAAAGCTTGCATCATGGCATGTTTCTTGTGGTGGTTTTCCATCTCTTTCTCTGTAATGACTGCCTGCTTTTGGCCCCTGGGCCCCTGGCTCCATCCACTCTGTGCAAAAATTTGCATCCGTAAGCAGAAGCTGCCGAAGCTGTGCTCCTGGCAAAGGGGCGAGAGGAAGTGCTTGCCAGGAGCAGGGATGTTGTTGGGAATGAAGATGGGAGGAATCTCTGTGTGACTGGAAGCCCTGGGAGTCACAGCTGCTGCCCTTGCTCTGGTTTGAGTGACTGTCCAGCTTTGCCATCAGAGTGAAAAACACCGGATTTTCATTCTGGGTCAGATTTAATGCCCAAGGAATGTTCTTCATGCAATTGTAGCAGCTGTGAGTTAGTGGTTAATGTTTTATTTAACAACAGTGGATGCTTCTGGTAAGACAAATTTTTCTTTTTAAGTATTGTGAGCGTGTTGGTTTCAAATCTGAATACTGTGCTTAACTCCAGTGTGGTCGCAATCCGCTCATCCTTCAACAAACACAGATTTTGGTGGAAAGGGCATCCAGCTTGGCCTCTCATGATGCCAATATTGCCACTGAACTTGGCTACCAGATGATTTTGCAAGGGAAAATAAAGGAGGCGGTAAAATGGTACAAGACTGGCATGACTCTTGACGAGACAAGTGTTCCTGCGCTAACTGGTACGGCTCAAAACAGATGCGTGCTTTTTATTTATTTATTTATTTATTTATTAAAACATTTTTATGCCGCCCCATTCGCCGAAGCCTCGGGGTGGCTTACAACGTTGAGGCCATCTACAACTCAGTTCACTGTTTTCCTTGAATAAGCTTATTTCAGCAAGTAATTAATGTGATGTGATTAAGGCTTTTAAAGATAGTATTTTCAAAGCCTGCGTGATCATCAGGTGGATTTCTGCCGCCTCCCTCCAAGTTCCCCACTGGTGCGGTCCAGGAGGGGGCGGGCCCAGGTAATTCTGGGTAATTCCGAAGGCCTCTGCAAGAGATCAGTCCAGATCTTTTACAAGAGTGGCATGTCCCTTCCACAGGAGCCTCCTGGGTCAGGAGGAAGACAGTGGAGGGGAGAGAGAAAAGGACACCCTGGAAAGAGAGGGGAAAGGAGGAGAGCCTTGCGCACCGCTGCCCGCCTGCCCCTGACCAATGAAGCAATGTGCTCCTTGCTAGAAAGCAGGTCCCCTACTTCTGCTTTAGCCTGCAAAGTCTGACTCCAAGGGAGATGAATCCTGCACCCAAAATGACATGACTCTGCATTGCAGGAATTATCCGGAGCCAGCTAATGGAAGGGAAGCTGGACGATGTCGAGCAGCAGCTGGAGTTCCTGAATGAAATCCAACAGTCTATCGGGAAATCAGCGGTGAGAGATTTGATCCTGGTCTGATTGACACTGCACTTCTGGTGATACAATATTTATGTGGCTCGGGGAGTCTCAGCCGAGAGTATTGTTTTGCCTTTTGGCTCCTCGAAGTGCACATTTCCTGAATTTCAAGGCAAGGAATGCTTTCCTTGCATGGATCTGTGCGTTTGGGTACAGCGTTTGGAATAAAGGAGGTCTCGTCGGCACGGTTGACTTCAATGTGTTAGAATATGATACATTTTGTACAGGGCAATCCTACGTAGTGGGGAGAATAAGTGGCAATTGTGGTGCTGCTTCCAAAGCCCTGCCGGTCTACTGCATCTGCCAGGGTGGAAGGTGGGGTAACAGCTTGATTTCCTCACCTTTTAAACCTCACCCACCCACATTTACTGAAGCGAGAGGGGATTTGATACGCCTTCTGTGAGACCAAATTTGCTCTGGGCCAACACAGGGTGCTTCCTGTAGTCTTCTGCCATTGAATAGAATACCCCACCGATAGAAATGTTGGTGGACATTTCTGCTGCCATCCATATACTTCTCTCCCCACCTGGAGGTAAGGAGGTCCACACATTGCTTTGGCTCCTCAACTTCCCAAACTGCTCCCTAAACCAAACAAAAGTTCAGTGGGGTATGCTACAATTCAGGCCCTCTGAATTGGCACCTGGTGTCCTGAGAGAAAGTCCTTGTTAGCCGTGATCACAAACTAAAGCGGAGCCTGATTAAGTGGAAATATTTTCAATTGGTTTCGCAGGAGCTCTCCTACTTGCGTGCAGTGTTGGCTATGAAGAAACATAAAGGACAAGAAGAAGTTATAACTTTATTGAATGATGTACTTGATACGCATTTTTCTTCTTTGCAAGGCTTACCTCTTGGTGTAGAATATTTTGAGAAATTAAATCCTGATTTTTTGATCGAGATTATTAAAGAGTATCTCAATTTTTGCCCAGCACAGGTAAGACACGAGAATTCTTGTCCTTCTAAAATAAGGATCATTTACTGTGGTTTTTTTTTCAGTTCCATACTCAAAGGTTTCAGGTGAAAGAGAGGGTATAATGAAGGAGAATAATGAAGGTTCTAAGCTTCGTCTGGTGTAAAGGGAAAGGAATAACCTCATTAGGGGTCCCACTTGTCTCTGGGTTGATGGGCTGCTCACAAAATGTCCGTCATTAGGCTCCCAGTAATTTTATAGAATGACTAGCATTATAGACATGGCTGGTCACAGAATGTTTATTTCCCAGAAGGCAAACTGTTTAGACTAAGAGAGGTCTTGCTCAAGAGCCTAAGGTGAAGGTGAAGGTGAAGTCTGAGCTCCAAAGTACCAATCCCATCTTTTGAACCCAAACAAAGATGGCACTGCAGGGTAGTACTTCATTCTGTGGCATGCCAGGCTGCCAGTTTGTTTGTTTTTAATTGGAGAAGTCAAATCAAAGGCAAGGAAGGCCATGAGTCTGGCTGAACACCAAGAGAACTATCTGCAGCTGCCTGGTACTCAAAGGTACCATGTTGGAGACTCCAGTTTGAGATGCCAGTGTGGCGTAGTGGTTAAGAGCATGGGACTGGGACTCAGACCTGGGTTCTAGTCCCCGCTCAGCCACGGAGCCAACTGGGTGACTTTGGGCCAGTCACAGACTCTCAGCCCAGCCTACCTCACAGGGTTGTTGTTGTGGGGATAAGACAGAGAAGGAGAATGATGTAAGCTGCCTTGAGACCTTTGCAGGATATAAATTGAATGAATGAACAAACAAATAAATAAATAAAATGCCAAAATGGTCATAGTGCAAATTAGATCAGCTACCTCTTTTGAGAGAGTGCTTCATTTATTGACAGGGAGGCAGTGAACAGGATTGTGTGCTCAAAACCAGCACACACAAAAATTAATTTCAGGGGGAAATGCACACAATTTAAATGTGATGCACAGAACATGGTTTCATGAAAATAAAATTTCACTTCTCAGCTGAGACATGTGTTTTATCATGACTTTAAAAAAAAACTGCCTTTACCTTCTCAGTGTATTAAAGTTACCATTGAATCTATTTCTCTATAACTGTGTTTATCTCTAGCCTGCAGGTCCAGGACAGCCTCCTTCACCTCTTCTAAAACCTTGTGCGTCTGTTCTTGAAACAGTGGTAAAAACTGTCCCTGGCCTCCTGCAAGCAGCCTTCTTAGCTGCAAAGGTGAAATACTTGTCAGGTAATGTCTAATTTTGAACCAGTGCAAATAATAATCATAGCATTCAAAACGTTTCTGCTCTCTGAAATTACACTTTGATTCATACAACCAGCATGTCAACCAAAACATAACATACTGCCAGTGACTTGTACTGATCTATTTCTTGTATTATATTGCTGCTTTATTTTTTGAATAGGAAAAAAAGCAATGTTACTCAACTGAAGACCCTTGATTACAAGGCTCCATGTTGTCGGGGTAGGGAAAGAGTTGTAGACCTAGTTCACAGAGAATACTAACCCAATGGTTTATTCAACCCACGTTTGGGTTGTTGTGATATGCAAACACAGCCGCACTAACAAAACAGGTTTTGTTAACTATGAACAACCCAGAGGGCCAATCTGCATATCATGGCGTCACTGAAGCAACAATGTGTGGGATATGCATTTATGCTTGAGTAAACAACCTGTGAACACTCCCATCATAGGTTGTGAACATACCCTAATCCAGACACTCTGGATTGATTAAACTACCCAGATTTGTTTCTGGGTTAACTATAGGTTGTGCAACCCATAAACATGCAAATCCTGCACAATCATTTAACTGTGTGTTGTTAACTCTAAGAGAACCTGTGACTTGCTGTTTGTTTGTGAACTTTGGGTCATTTGAATCATGGGTTGATGTTACATGTGAATTCAGAACTGTGGGTTGTTTGCTGGTTGTTCATTGGTTGTTTTGCCAAGCTCTAGAGGCAGTGATCAAAAGCAATAAAAACAACAACAGTAAACCAGGTGCTGTACATGTCAGTGCTACTGTGTCACTGACAGAAATGAGCAAAGGATTGGAGAAATAACCAAAGAGCTGAGAAATCACACTGCAGTTTTGCTTTGTTCTCTACCAGACAAATCCTGTGTAGGGCAACAAACCACGAATTAACCATTGGTTAAATAAACCATGGATTACTATAACACGCAATCTGAAACAGGTCATCAATAGTGAATGTTAAATTCATGGTCTTATGCAACTTCAGAAGGTTTCCGATTTATCTTGTTTAATTCATGTGTTTTGTTTCTTTAACCTGATCAGGTAATTGTGAAGCATCCCAAAGTATCCTGCAGCACTGTATAGATAAGAATCCTTCATATGCAGATGCTCATCTTCTTATGGCCCAAGTGTATTTATTGCAAAACAACTTCAGGCTCTGTTCTCAGTCCCTGGAACTCTGCCTAAGTTACAACTTTGAGGTAAGTAGGACCGGGAAGTCTTGCTTAGCCTGCTGAAGCTCTTTATTTTCATTGTAGATTTGACTGGCATTTAAACTTGCTGCCAGAAATATTTTTCTTAGTAATGTTTTTGCAGCCAATGTGGTTGCCAATTGTCAAAACATCAAACATCTTCATGGAATAAGAATACGTTTATTTAGCTTTTTATGAAAGAGATTTACCTAGAAAAGGCAACATCAGGATGGGATTTTAGGCTATGTTTCTCCCCTTCTTGGCCCTCTGATGCACCACCCTCACTGCAGCTCTTGTGGTCTGACCCTCGACCCAGCAAGAAAGTTCGAACATCCTGTGTGCCTGCAAGCCCTTGGCAGAATGAACCTGCCTAATGAATCAAGTGTAGCCCCTTTCTGGAAAAGCTGGGAGAGGAAGGGAATTTGAAGTACTTTTAAATCCATTAGTGCTTTATATCCATGGCAAGTTGCAGAGCTAAAGGAAAATGTGATTCCTGCTTGGCACTGGATGGCCATGTGTCTGTAGCATCTGCTGCTTACTGAATCTGGCCCTGGAGCGATGTCCATTTCTGCCTGCACGTTATTGTGAAACTGATTTCTTCATTAAGGTGCCCTGCAGGCTCAGGCGCTCCAGCTGGTCGAACAAGCCGCATTGCTGGGTCAGGTCTGTACCTCGTCATGGACTGAGCAAGTGGCTGTGTCTTGTCCAGCAGAAAACCTATTCAGAGGATACAAAACATCGATACATCCATCCAGCATAACCTGCTGCCGGGGACGCAGTGTGGATCCTTCACACATACTTTCAGAAAGTTCACGTCTTAGTCTACTGCCATGCCCTTAACTAGAGCATTTCACCGCAGATGCTTGCTGGCCCTTTTCATGGTGATCTGATTTCTTCTCTTTGAATCCTCGAGAGAAAGCAGGCTTTATTATTTGTAGAGCTGCCTAATTCATTAAATATAGCACCAGCCTTGCCCTCACGCATGCAGGCTAACACGAAGGTAGCAACGGAAATCCCACCAGGTATTTTAGAAAGCCTTCATTCCAAGAAGCCCACACATGGCCAATCGTCAGGAAGGAAGTGGGAGGAGGGGAAAGGGGAAAGGTGCAAGAGGGAGGTTCGTTCATCCATGCTGGAAAAAAAGCAAATTGCGTTAGCCACCTTTTTCCATGCAGTTGGACCAGGCTGATATTCCTTGCCAGTGTTCTTTCTGGCTGCGGGAAGTGCATCTTCCCAGTTCCTGTTAATTCCATGAAAGGTGTCATTGCAAAAGTTAAAAGCATTGCAAGAAAAACTGGATATGTAGAGTCACAGCGGTCATTAAGGCAGCTGTGCAGGGGACTTGGAATATTTGCGCCATCTCCTCTGCCTTGATATTAGGTAGCCGCACAAGCAAATATTAAATGGTTGAGGGAGAGTAGCATCTGTTCCCGAAGGTTCTGCAGCTTGGGGCTGGAGCCAATGCGAGGTGCCACACTGAACTTCCTGGCCCTTCTCCATCTTTGTCCCTCTCGCTGGTTCTTCTTCCTTTATTTCTGTGTCATTTCAGTATGTGTGTCGGAATGGATAGGACGAGTGTGAGCACTGGTTGGGCCATGGCATAGTTTAAAGGCGCCTAATGCAGCAGTCTTGCTGAGGCTAAGCAGGTCTGTGTCCAGACCATGTCTGGATGGGGGGCAACTTAGGATTCCTGCTATACCTTCTGCCCCCTAAAATAGGCAGGATCTCAATATAACAGTAACAGTTCCTTTCAGTTACAAAAAGATGTTTGGAAGCCTAGAGTGGGGGGGCCTCTGGTGTCTAGTAATAAAATTTAGACATTCTGTAGTACATTTGGTAAATGCTGTAAATATACAATATACATAATTGTATGCAATATACATAAATTATAAGCTTGCTTGCTTATTAATAAATAACATTTACTGTTCATCAGGTTCGGGAACATCCCTTGTACCATTTAATAAAAGCTCAGGCCCAGGTAAAGATGGGCGAAATAGAGGAAGCCATCAAAACCTTGCATATGGCCATGAACTTACCAGGGATGAGAAGGACTGCATCTTCCGCAAGATCAAAAACAAAGCGGATTGAAATTGATGGAAGTGACCGTGTGTCTGTCTATCTCGAATTGGTAAATGCTCATCGTTTGAATGGTGAACAGGTATGCCAAATGTTTATGTAAAGCAGGTGTATCATCCTGCAAGGGCATTTGCAAACCTTAGTGGCTTGTGGCTCATCCTGCCAGTGGGGTCAGGTTGACTGCATTGGCCTCCAGCAAGCCTGCAGTATTGTGAAATGTGAATGAGCCTCACATCCCCCTTGCTTGCAACTTTCCCTCTCCTCCCTGTGGTCAGGAGGGGCCGTTCAGATGAATCGCGGGCTTCTGTGTCACGCAGTCCCAGCGAATTGTGGCCTGCAGTTATTTTCAAAAGAGGTCAGGCGCATAAATCATGGTTTGAAGCTGGCTACTTTGAAACTTAGCACGGCTGAGATTGACCATTGTTTCTGAATTTGGTCTGCATGGCAAGCTGAAGTTAATCAAGAATGAATGCAAAAAGTCCTGAATTTCTGCTCTTATGTTTGGGAGGTGGAGGAAAGAGCACACGAGCCCTCGAGTCATGTTGTGGGTCATGAACATTTCCTTAAACCGGCCTTCCCCAGCCAGTGCACGCCTGATGTTTTCACAAACACAGTGATGGAATACGAATGCAGATGACCCACAAGCAAAGGAAGTCCGCTGTTCACCTTCTGCAGCCCTTTGGCTCCGGAGAAGGCTAGGAGTGCTCCCTTGGCCCCGCTTGCCTGGGCAAGTGATTCATTAATTCCCCCCTGCATTTCCTGACAATGAAACCATGCCTTTTCCTGTGGATGGGGTACAGTTCCTCTCTCACTCTGCCGCAGAGCCTGTCTGCTTGCACCCAGGATCCTTCCCCCATTTCCTGGGATCAAAGCTGTTTCCAGAAGGTAAACAGTTTCATTCAGGCTGTAGGGGAAAGGCACCCTTGGGGCAAGCCTTTCTGGTGCTCTTCCTTAAAGCAAGCTGGAGGCCAGGAAGACGTAGCATGCTTTCAAGAAACGGTTTCGGCTTTTGGGCACTAGAAAAGTTCACCACACTATCTGTTGAACCTCAGTAACCTCTGGCACAGGCTGAACAATACGCAGCATCATGGATCATTGTGTTAGTCCTCCATTGCTTCTTACCTGATAGGTGTCCCAGGACACAAATCATTTACTAACCTAGAATGCTCATGAGTTGAGTCTTAAGGTCTTGGGCGTGCAGAAGGCATCCGTGTGAAGGGATAGGAAAGGGAAGTTTAATGTAGAAGTTGTTCAAGCTGTCTTCCACGCGGCAACACCTTTTGGACAGTAGATGCAGTTTTCATAACTTAAGAGAATAGGGTGGTCTGCAGAAGGGAAGCAAACCAACACAGTGGTCTACTTTAAAGCTTTAGGGGTGTGGTTTTAAGAGTTTTGGGATGAAATCAAAATAGCTTTCCTTCTTTTGAAAATGAAGTGGGGAGTGCACTGTAATTGATTCTTTGGTTAATTATCAGAGATTTTGAATCAGAGTGTTACATGAGTACTTTTTGAAATGTGTTCCAGGGAAAGCAGGCATGGGCTCCTCGTTAGGCCTGCCCATGCATTCTGCTGGGCGCGGAGAGCCAGGATGGAGGTCCTTGCTCCACTTCCCCATCGTCCTCCATCAGCTGGGGAGAGAATTCCTGCATAAGGAAGCCTTTCTACCCACGTCAGCTCCCTGCGTGATGTAGTGCCCCGATTTTCTGGGGTTCTAAATCATATGGGGAGCAAGCAAAGGAAAGGCCATTTACTCACTGGCATCAATCTTTCCTTTCACAGCGGGGCTGCAGGGAAGCATTAGCTGTGTTTTAGGGAATGCACCCAGTTCATGCACAGCTGTGCCGATACCCAGGAAATCTGGCTGGCGCTCTGTGATAACTGACTGCACCCTCGGTCACGCTCCCATAATGATCTCTGCACCGTGCAGGAATGACTTGGCAGACAAATGAACACAGAAAGGAGAAACCAAGTATGAGAATTGCAAGTGAAATATGGTTTAGGTCCAGAAATCTACCTTTGATCGTTGTAGGTTTGATACATTTGATAGTTGTATAAATTAATTGATAATATAAATAATTTATATTTTTGAAGCATGAAGCCATTAAAGTCCTCCAGGATGCTATCAATGAATTTTCCGGCACTCCTGAAGAGCTGAGAGTCATGATTGCTAATGCAGACCTGTCTCTTGTGCAAGGAGATATTGAAGCTGCTTTGACTATGCTCAGAAATATAACACCGGAGCAGAATTACTACATTCAAGCCAAAGAAAAAATGGCGGAGATCTATCTGGTGCACAGGAGAGATAAGAAGCTATATGTAAGCTGTTACAGGTAAAAACTTACTGCTACCAAAGGAATAAAGCTACAGCACACTCATTTCCTGAATATATTTTTCTGCAAAAACAGATCATAATGTAAGCTTAGAGGTTGAGCCTTTTGAAGCTGAAAAACCCTTGTCTGTGGAGGCTTACGAGCATCCCCTGCAGAATGGCTGGAGGAGTGAAGTGAGGGGCCTCTCGGCTCCTGCTCTGCATTTTAGCTAGATGTTGTATTTGGCTGTCTAACCGGGACACTAGACCTCAGTTTCTGGGTTCTAGAGTATGCCATGGCTCTCCAGACAATGCCTAGGGACACAGGATCGCTCCCTAAGAAGTACTGCAAATTGAAAGGCAAGAAAACTGTTCATACTTTCTATGGATAAGTGTAAACCAAAATATATGCATGATAAAAAATGTATCAGGTTCATGTCTACCTTAGGGGTTTGGATGCAGTTGTGCCCACTGTAGGATTAGAGCTAGTCTCTGATAGGCCGCCCAGAGGGATCTTCGTGTAAGTAGAAGTATGTATGTACAGACATGCTTCATGAAAATGAGGGCATGAGAGAGAAAGTGTGGTGCAGTGGTTAAGAGCATGGGACTGGGACTCAGGAGGTCTGGCTTCTAGTCCCCGCTCAGCCATGGAGCCAACTGGGGAACTCTGGACCAGTCACAGACTCTCAGCCCAGCCGACCTCATGGGGTTGCTGTTGTGAGGATAAGATGGAGAAGATGAGGAGGAGAAGGATTAAGTAAGTTGCCTTGAGTTCCTTGGAAGAAAAATGCAGGATATAAATATAATAACTAAAATGATAAAATGCTAGAGCCAGTACGACCACTTCACTTTCCCAAGTGGAAGTAAAAATGGCCCCCACACTGCAACACTGCATGCTATCATGCTTTGAAGGTTCCCTCTTCAGAATTAGTTTTCAGCATGAAGGCACCACGGCTGGCTGTTGGCGCAGAGTCTTCAAATACCGGGAAATGAGTTGATGTAGGTTGATCTATAGAGGTAGAATATATAGCTCTTTAGTCATATTTTTATTTTCAATGCACAATAGAATTAATAGCAAAATAATCTAGCCATGCAGGTGAAACAAACTATGGGGGAGAGAGGTTGGATAATGCTTCCTAAAAACCCACAGTTGTTGACATGGGATTGTTTTCCCACAAAACTCCTGTGAGGTAAGAGCCAAACGGTATGATTTTGAGATGTTATTTAAACTGGACTTGCAGTGAAGGCAGTTTTCCCTCCCCTCCCCTCCCCCTCTTCAAATTAGAGCTCTTTATTTGGTAATCTGTTTTAGGGCACAATCCTATGCAAGTTCAGACCAAAAAAAGGACAAAAAGGGACAACTTAGCACATGAAGAAAAACATCCTCACACTTCTCAGAACAGTAGATACAAACTCTTTCAGGGATTGGGATATTGTTATAAAAGGCTGAAGGCATGGACTGAAAACACAAAGCTGTAAATGATTTTCTTAAAGGAGCCACAGTAAATAATACAAAAGAATTCACCAGTCCAAATGAGACCAGCAAGAAAGGGGCATTTGTGAAATACTATATGAATACCACCCTTGGGACACAGACTGATTTCTTGTTTAAGCAGTTCTGTTTACTCCACTGGAGGCCAAGCTGAACAAAGACTTAATATCAGTTCCATAACAGTGCAGCATGATCTGACCAAATTTGCCCAAGACTCTCAGAATAGCCTTCATGGTTTTTGAAAGGCTAGGAAGATGAGAGTCACTTACACAAGCCAACTTGTAACTTCTGTAGCTTCCATCTAGCCTGAAGAGCCTGATCCTGCCTTTTCTTGGAAGCTAAGCAGGATCAGGTCTGGTTGAAACCTGGATGGGTGACTTAAATGTTGTGAACTACCCAGAAAGCTTTGGCTATGGGTGGTATAGAAATGTAATGTAATAACTACTATTACTTCAGACAGAAAAGGGCAAGAGGAACATGGGCTCAGTAGAGAGAGCCCCACTTCTGCCCTTAAAACTGCCGTATGTGTATTTCGAGATACCATGGCAAAGCCATCTGCATATAAAAGGACTGAAAACTTAACCTCCTGGTTTGAGGTTGGAAAACATCTGGACCTCTTACGCATTGTTGTTAATATAGAAATTAAAAAGAAAAAAAGGCCAGAAGGGCTCCCCTGACAGACTCCTCTGTCACAGAATCATAGAGTTAGAAGGGGCCAGAAAGCCATCGGACCCAGTCCTCTGCTATTGCAGGACACTAAGTCACACCATCCCATACCGCTTGGGATTCCATCTGAGAGGAGTCCATTTGCAGCAAGTCTTATCCAGCAAGGCATTAAGAGTGGCCCATTTGAATTCAAAACATAGAAACGGAGTGAGTCAGAAGGGGCCTCCTGGGCCATCTAGTCTGACCCCCAGCTCCAGCCGGCTCTGGTCATGATATGCCTACAATTAGAAGAGCCTTCTATTACCAATAGTGACAGAAAGTTTTCACCCCAAAGATCTTTACTTACAAGGTAGGACTAAAATCCACAAAGGAACATCTACTGCTTTTCTACCATCTGAGAACACTTTTGTATCAAGTGATGAATGCCAGCTCATTGATCTGTTGTGGATTTCCCCGCTCAAAGCCCTGGTTTTCCATTTGCTATCACTGAGTTTCCAGCAGCTCAGAACTCTACCCCCAAAGGATTCAGAGTACAATTTGGCCACCACATTAAGCTAAAATTATTTGGGTCTGCTCCAGAGGTTCTTTTGTGGATTGGAACAATACTCCTCAACCCTGTGGAATTTTTCTGTAACAACTTATACAGGTACACATTCTGGCAAGCACTGAGCACCACCAATGAAAGTGTCCTACCAAGTCTTATGCAAGATTATATGGCTGAATTCTGATTTTGTCACCTGCAGCTTACATATAGCCTGTTCTCAAGTTCTCCAGTGTGATATAATTTATTCGTTTCTAAAGGCAGTGTACAGTTTTAGAGAAATGAAATGTTCAAATTAGAATCCTGATTTTCCTGGTATTCTTCTTAATATCCTTTGGCTCCATGTCTCTTCTAAACCATTCTTCAGTAAATATGGGTGCATTTGAATATAATGCCAAGCTATGGTTTAGCTTTGCAAGAATTAGTCTGATTTCTCTCTGGGCTTAGGTGCTTCCTTTCCTGTCTCTTCATTGCATGAAGCTTCCATTTTAAATCAATTGTAGCTTGCCATGTCACCTGAATCATAAACTGTAGTTAAGTTTAACTGTGGTTTGTGAAAACCAGCTAGCTTCATAAACTGTGGTTTGAAGTTGACTTATTTTCAGTAACCACCATTACAATCAACTATATTTTGTCTGGATTCAGATGATGTGGCAATCAAATTGCCTACAGTTAATCAAAACCTGAAGCAAAATCTTCCAAAAATCTAGAGAAGAAAGAGAAGTATGTAAGTCAGGTGGAAGAAAGAAGCTAGATATGTTCTTAAAATGCTAAATTATGGTGCAGTGTTACATCCAAAATAGCCCAGTGTGTTCCATGAAATTAATTTTTGTAGTTCTGATGTCAACAAAAAAGTAAGCTGCATACACATGTAGGTAACTTAATCAAATGAGTTTCCAATATAACAACTCATCTTAATTTTCCTTCTCTAGAATGTAAACGTTCTCTGTTCTTGCTAAATTGAAAATTCCAAAGCACAGAGGTTGGCTATCTCTTGGTATAACAAAAATAACTATAGCAATAGCAATAACACACTGGCCATAAAAATCTAGGGTTGTATCCAAGGGTGGTGTTCTACCAGCACTGTTGGAACAGATTTCCCTTTCCCCACATCTCCCACAGGTGCCCTGAAGAACAGATTTGGGAGGGGACTGAGGAGAAAATAAGGTTTTGTTGTGCAAGCAGAGGTCCCCTGTCTGCTGGTACAATGTGGGCTCCAAGCCCTAGCTTACTACACCAGTTGCAAAACAGAGTTCTGGTACAGATATGATACGGGGTTTTTATTTTCCCTCTCTCTCTTTACTAGAGACCTGGTAGAGAAACTGCCAAGTTCTCACACCTTTCTTCTCCTTGGTGATGCATGTATGAATATCCAGGAGGTAAGCATCTATCTATAGCATTAGTGGGTTATGATTACAGAAGGAACACAACCATTGTGGAGAGTACTGAGAGAATCATAGAAAAGTGGAGTTGGAAGGGGCCATGAAGGCCATTGGGTCCAACCCCTTGCTGATACAGGACACCAAGCCACACCATCCCACTCAGATGGCTGTCCAGTTTCTTTTTGATATACACAAACCCCACTCTTTAGAGGGGAAATGTGGACACAGGGGAAGAAAAGTTAGTTACCTGCTGAAAGTGAAGGTACTGTCCATTGCAGCTTCTCTGCCGGAAGTGATCACCATGAGGCTTAAAAGAGTCCTGGTGACCCTTCCCTGTCTCCACTGAGACTCCTCATTTACCAGGTGCCGTTGTGAGATTCTTCTGTGGGATTCCGGAATTACGCAGCATACATCTTTTGATCTGTGTAACAGGCAGCACACAGCAGGCTGGGGTGGTGGTGGAAAGAATAGAACTGTGTTGAATCCTGCAGCACTCCCTCTTTGTGTAGGTGCTGTGCGTACAGCACAATGGCTTCTCCCATAAATTTCCATTTTTAGTGGGGAAAAATGGAGTGCTTCTGAGAACCCAAGTGACATTTGTTGAGGCTTTCATCAGATCTGACCTTCTGGGTGGCTTCCCTGTTTGCCAAGTGTTTCGTGCATGTGCTTCCTAGTTTTTGCAAGGGCCTTAACCTGGCCTTTACTGCTAGTTCCAGTCTGTTAGAAACTCGGGTATCGTTTTGCTGTGTGTCCCTTTCACCTCCCCAGCCAATTTATGTCAAAAGTGTCTCCGTGCAACCCAGTCAGCTGTAAACATTAATGCATGTTTTCTTTGAAAACCAGAGTGACTATATTATACTAAGGGCACAACCTACTGTTAGTTTAGATAAAAAATGTTCTACAGCTGTCTGGAGAATTCGGGGAGTTGTAGAATTTTTTTCTGTCTAAACCTGCATAGAACTGCCCCTGGAGAGTTTCAAAGGAGAGAGAAGGACCCCGCGACCTTTGGCAGCAGCCCCGAGTGGGCCTTTGTGCCATTCAGATCTGTGAGACTTAATCCCATGTGCTTGTGCCTAATATTGCTCCTCTTTGGCAGTGTTAAGCAGGGTGTCAAACCATTCACTTCTTTGGTGCAGTTCCAGTTCAGACCAGTAAAAATGTGGTAACCAATTTGGCAGACAATAACTACAGATATTATTTTTTTTATTATTATTATTATAACACTTCTATGCCGCCCCTTGCTGAAGCCTCGGGGCGGCTTACAACACAATAAAATACATTGAGATACAATAGAGCATAATAAATTACCAGAAAATACAAAAATACCAAAAAATACATTGAGTCACAAACATCATAATATAAAATTAAAATTATCACTATAAAATAAGTAAATAAATAATATAGGAGGGGAAAAGAGAAGGAAGAAGAAGTTGCCCTGGCCAGTTCATATATTTTAACAGTTAAAATGATGTTTAAATAAAAAGGTCTTTACCTGGCGCCGAAAAACCAGTAACGACGGTGCCAGGCGGACCTCTTTGGGGAGTGAGTGCCATAGGTTGGGCGCCACCGCAGAGAAAGCCCTCCTCCGAGTACTTACTCTCCTAATTTCTTTCATGGAGGGTTCCCGGAGAAGGGACTCTCCCGCAGATCTCAAAG